TTCTAAAACTCTAGATATGGGTCAAACACTGAACAGTATTCGGGTTGCAAGATAAAATCGGACTTCTTCGTTGTTGCTACAATTTGAACTTGAAAATGGCTTTTTTAAATCTTGGACTTCTCGTGAAAGTTGTAGACCTATGTCTTACCTTTCCACTATATAAAGTAGACCTAAATTCGAGATCTACAGCTCCAAATATGACCCAATTACCAAACAATGTTTTGGTTTGCACTGCACCAGCATCTCTTTTCTAAGTTTTGCTATCTCTTTGTCCTTTCAATTTCAGTTTTTTAACTCATTAATCAATCCTTTCATTTATGTGATAAACCTGCATTTAAAATGAATATTTACCACAAATTAAAGGTATCTTATATTATTAGATATGTTATTATAAAACATACTATAGTTAAGGAGTTATTGATACTTCAAATGCAAAATGATAATATAAAACCTTGATAAAAATATATTTTTAAGTATTAATCACTCAACTTCATCAAAAAGCATTTACATTACTTTAATTCTTAATTCATAATTCACTTGTATGTTGTTTTATTAAAATGTCTATTAAATTATTAACTTATATATAAAATTGATTTATTAATAATACAATAGTTATGATAATAGTGAAAGTAATAATAATAATGATGATGATAAATAATTGCATATAAAGTAATTTTACTTAAATTTAATATTTAAAATTTATTACTCTATAATTTTTTGGTAAATTTTATTTATTATTGTACAAAAGTTCAATTCTTTTATAAGTTTTTAATCACTAGATATAAGGCTAGCGTTTGATTTTTTCTTTTAATGCATGATTTTGTTTTTTTTGTAAATTCAACAAATTAGATAAGTAAATTATACATTACACTTAACATTAATAAGTGTATAATTCTAAGGTAAATTAAAGCCAAAGGTTTTATATAAAAGGATCTTTCTTTATCGGTTATTATGGAAGAATAGAAATATTTATGGAATTAAGGTCTCAACTCTCAATCATGTAATAAAAAAACATATTTTCTTTTGTTATACTTCTTATTTTTCTTTTTCTTCTTCTTTTTTAAAAAGCAACTTGCTATTATTGTTGTCTTGATCACTTTATGATTTTACACATATTTAGCTTTTTTAATAATTGCAAATTCTTAAGTTACAAAAAAATTCAGGAAGAGAATTAAATATACCCGTAACTTGATATCTTAATATGTTGATAAAAAAAAAAAAACTATGTGATTCTAAATAATTACAAATCCACCTGAGTTAACTTTTTTGAAAAGTTTTTTATAAATAATTTTTTTTTGAATTAAATAGATTTGATGATGTGACAAATCAAAATAGTGAATTTGTGTTTATAGTATAAGTTGTTTTTAAAATATTTTTTTTTTGTAAAATATATTAAAATAATTTTTTAATATTTATTTTATTTATAGTATTATCAAATAAAGTTATAAAAATGCTAAACGTAAATATCAACTTAACATTTTAAAATAAAAGCAAATTTAAAAAAACAAAAATTATTTTCACTCCACACAACCAGCTGCCCCCACACGAAAAGGATTGATAAATTATTAGCCAATGATCCTTCTTCAATGGGGGCCACAAGGCTTAGATGCTGGCCAGTGGCCACCGCCTTCCCTCCTCGATGAATGAAACACAAAAGCTTAGAATGACAGAAACTTGTGGGTTTCTGGGATTAGTGGACTAGAAAAATTCACACGTCGCTATCGCAAGCCTCTCTCTGTCCCTCTTCCAGTTGGGCTTACCGTTTAATCGCCAGAAATTATGAAAACATCGGCGGCGCTGTCAATGATGAAATGTCTGATTCTTAGCATCGGCCATCGGGAGCCACCAAATCAAAGTTACTTTCCAAATTAGGTGGCGGAAAAGAGGGAATCCTCCGGGTTCTTTTTTAATGAATTGCTCTCCGTTAATTCATCAGCGTCGGCTTTTCTTTCCTTTTCTTTTCCTTTCAACACTGAGAAATAAAAAGGCATCTAGTATGTTTAGGTTATGAAAAAGCAAGAAGGTATGTTGGGGTGGGAGCTTAGTTTTTGTTCATGTCAGCTTCTCCGTTCTTGCCGTTTTGTAGGATTAGTAAGGTGATCGTTATGATTAATGTTGGATTTATTCAAAGTGGATTGGCTTTAACAAAATTTGTAGAATAAAATTACTCGAAATCAAGTTTGGTAAATGTTGTTTGTAAATTAATAACCAAAACAGAAAAATTAAATGATATTCTAAGTACAATATTAAAAAAACAAATAATTATGAATTGGAAATTAGTAGTTTATAATTTTTAATATTTTTAAGTTGAAAAAGAACAACAATTTAAAATAATATTATATAAATAAAGATGTTTATTTTTTTTATTATAAAAGTGATAAAAAAAGAATAATTTTTTTAATAGTAATCTCTAATGTGAGGGAAAAGAAATTTGAATTCATACCCAAGAATAAGCAAGTGTTTTTTAATAACAAAGCTAGCCCCATACTTTTAATTAAATACTAGATTATTCTCTCATTTTGTTTCATCAACCCTTCAACATGAATATACAATTATTATACCATTAAAAACATGAATATGCAATTGTTATACTATAAAAAACATGTATCTAATATTGATGAATTGACGAGAATGTTGAAGATATTTATTTAGAATTGTCTTCTAAAATTATTGAAGGTTGAAGAGAAGAAGGAATTGAGCTTGATAATGATAAGATTTGTAAAACAAGTTTTCTCATAGATTTATGTACTTAGAGATACTCAAATGCCTAAATCAATTTCAATTACTAATAAAAATATTATAAGATTTTGTATATTTAATTGTCAAACAATATATAAGATTGAGTAAAAAAAATAAAATTGATCTTTCCTCGAATGTCAAGGCTATTCATACAACCATGAACTCTTCTAGATGAGTTTATAAAACGATAAACTATTCATACAACCATGAATTCTTCTAGATGAGTTTATAAAATGATAAAATGATCAATATGTTTATCACATATAGTTGTAGACTATTTAATGACAAATACTTAATAGTAACAATGAGTCACTACAAAAACTACTCATATTTTAGATTATGAAAGTTATATATAATTGATAATGAATATTAAACCACTCCTTAAGATGATATATTTATGAGAATATGTTTATATATAATATATGTATATCTTGTTTTCTTTGTTGGTGGTGAATAAACTAAATTTTAATTATAGGATAATATATTCCAATAACAAATAAAAAATCTCTAGAAATTATATGTTTTGAGAAATACCTCATCTAATTTTGGAGTTATAGCATGTTAAATTCCAAAACATCTCCACCCCCTAGCAAAAAATGATTCAATCTTTAGAGAATATTAGGCCACCATGGTATTCTATGCCTAGAATAAAAATGAAATGATTAAATTATTATAGTAATTCAAATCTAAGAATTTAAAGGTTTGTTTTGAGAAATTTATAATAATATAAACAAGGTAATGTGATATTATTTTTTAAAGTATTATCACATGCTTAAAAGCCATAGCCATAGTTAAAAGTTATAGCCACATCCACATTGATGATTCCTAAACGTGATATTATTTTTTAAAGTATTATCACATACTTAAAAGCCATAGCCATAGAGCACTAAGTATACACTTGATGTATTATTATTTTTTAAATAGTTTAAGAAATTGAGAGGGAGAGGAGCACTATTGTCTTTACGAGTCATGATTTCACACAAGATAAGATCCTACGTCAGTGGATGGATGAGGTTAGCTAGTTAGAGACGATTAAACAAAAATCGGCGTAGACAAGGAAGTAAAGTAGACGATTAATTGAGAGGTCTCAAATACCTTACGGTTTCAGACACACAGCCCGCCTCAGAGAGAGAGAGAGAGCGTGTGTTTGCCTTTACCAATAATGTATCCTCTGCCTCACGCACACACTGACTGACACCCACACACGGTCCTGTCTTTCCTGCTTCTCCAATTTCTACACAGTTCTATGCTTTGGAAAGAGAGTAGCTCTGCATGATAATGAACACCAACACATCCTCTTCAACTTCAACGGCAGGAGCTGGAACAGAAGCGAATCCAGGTGGTCCTGCTCAATCAATGGCTACACCACCACCATTAGCAGCAGCAACAGCAGCTTCAGGTACAATCTCAGCAACTAGCAGTGATGGGTCAGGAAAGAAAGTAAGAAAACCTTATACAATTACCAAGTCTCGTGAGAGTTGGACTGAGGAAGAACATGACAAGTTCCTTGAAGCCCTTCAATTGTAAATTTCCTTTTTTGTTTCTCTTTCTATAACTACGCTGTCTCCCCTTTTCGGTTTTTAGTTCTTGCTCTGGAAATTCAAATTCAAAGGAAGAAAGAACGGAAACTAAGCACCAATTTCTTGATTTTTATTTCAGCAATTGACTTTGATTTGTTACTGTTTGCTGGTTACTTCTTTTCTTAGCTCTGTCACTTTTTCTTGGTTGAACTGCTATCTGGGAAGAAATAAATAAACGGGCCTATTAATTATGTTTTATACAGGATGTTTATCACATGAAACTAAATTTGATTAGGTCCTTTTTCGTTCAGGTTTGATCGTGACTGGAAAAAGATAGAAGATTTTGTGGGATCAAAGACGGTGATCCAGGTCTGAACCATATGTTTTGGCTTTGCAGGTTCAGATTTCTATTATCTTTTTGGAATGTTCTTTACTTTACTGATTATATACACTTGCAGATTCGTAGTCATGCGCAGAAATACTTTCTGAAGGTCCAGAAGAATGGTACAATCGCCCACGTACCTCCTCCTCGCCCTAAACGCAAAGCCTCTCATCCCTACCCACAGAAGGCTTCAAAAAATGGTTTGACCATTCTCACCAAATATGATGATATATGCTACTGCGCATTAAAATTTCCTTCTTGACACTCAGCCATGTTGTGTCTTAATTATTTCAGTTTTATTGCCACTCCCAGTATCCATGGCTTACCCTTCATCAATGAATACCTTCACACCGGGATATGCTCCATGGGATGAAACTTCAATGTTAATAACCTCCGCAACAAGAAAAATCATGCCATCGCAAGATGAGCTTGCTAATTTTCACGGAGCTGAAGGTGTGCGCACTTCTTTATTTGTTATCGTCATGTTATTATATTAGTAGATTATTTCTACTAGAGGAAACTTTCCAGCACTTATTATGGCATGCAACGTTACTGATTCAGCTGATATTGGAACAAAGGATGTATCAGATATTGGAACAAAGGGTGTATCAAGGTTTAGTTACAATACTGTCAGTGGCCTCGGGACATCAAGTAGAGCATTGCCGAGTGCTGAGATGCCAAAGCAAGGGAAGCAAGCACCTGTGCGTCATGGTAATCCATAATCCACAAGAATATAGTTAATTTTAAACTGACACTGACCTCAAACTCAAAGAATAAAAAGGGTTCTCTCTTACTTTTACCTATTAATTGCAGATATACCAGATTTTGCTGAAGTATATAGCTTCATTGGAAGCGTGTTTGATATGGAAACGAAAGGGCATGTGAAAAAGCTCAACGAAATGGACCGAATAAATTTTGAAACTGTGAGTTGAATTGAATTGAGATGCATCTTTTTCCCATGATACTATGAAAAGGCAAGTATTTGTATAATCATTGAGAAATATGGATAAGGCGTAGTATGGTGGTGAGTATGGTTCATGATTACAGTGGAAGTCTATGCTACAGTACCATAAATGAACAATAGGATCAACCATCGTTGGTACAGTACCATAAATGAACAATAGGATCAACGATGATTCTCATCTTTCTACTCAAGCATTATATGATATGCAAGGGGGCTGCAGAAGTTAATAATATTGCTGGGGTACTAAGAATGTTTTCTAGATATTTGGTCATGAGCTATGTATTGCTGGTAAATTGGTAATCAGAACCATTTCCTGTTTATTTCAATGTTCTCTGTATATAATTCCTTTTGGTGTCTTGCAGGTTTTGGTGTTGATGAGGAACCTTACTGTTAATTTGTCTAGCCCTGATTTTGAGTCATTTGTAAGTTTCAATGTTTTGCAAGTATGTTCATAGCAGCTTTTACCAGCATGCATACAAATACTTTCCCGTGAAAGATCTTTGAACAAGTTCTCTTATTCTCTCTTTTGCATATTTTATGTTTCTAAATTCTTCAATGATTGTTCTGTAACCTCGGCTAATTTACTTCCTTGGTTGATTCAGAGGAAGGTCTTGTCATCTTATGATGTCAATAGCAAAACATTGGGAGTTGCTGCCCTGAACCAGACCAATGATATAGCATGTTGAGCTAAAATTTTGCTGACCTGTACGTTTTCACCTTTTCATTTTCATTTTTTATTTTTTCATTTTCCTTGCTTCTCCAGGCTCTAACTTCCTCTTAGCATCTTTTGTTGCAGTAACGTGGTGATGTTGGCTATAATTCTTGCTGCATCACTAAAATCAAATAAATGTACCTTGCTGCACATGCTTGGAAGTTCGTAGTTTATGATGGTAGAAGAAAGTTGACTGATTTTCGAGGCTCGTGTGTACCTTGATGTCTACTGACCTCATTTGCAATGGCTGTTGCTATTATATTGACGATTTGGCCTTCAACCAAACAAGCGTGTATATCTTGCGAGATCTGTTTGGTGGTGGTTTGGCCGTCCCTTAATATAATTTTGCATATAGCGGCGTACATTTTGCCTTAACTACAAGAATTTGAATACATTAGAAAAGGTACTGCCCGTCAGATTTCTGAATGTAGGTTATTTTCTGTATTTGAATGACCTCAATATATACTAGACGTGTGCCCCTGGTACCCCTGCAGGTTTATATTATTTTTATAGTAAAATATTACAACGGTCCAAGTATATATTAAAAAAAATCTTAAAAAAATAATCTAATAACTCGGATTATAATACAATGTTTATTTTATTTAAATTATAATTAAAAAAATAATAACTAACAAATGGGAATATATATATATATATATAGATTGTGATAACATAAAAAAAATTCTTTATCCAAAAAAATTTATTTTTATTTAATGAATTTATTTATTAAAATTAAGTAATAATATAAATAAATATATAAAATTTATTGAATAAAATAAAAATATATTATACAAGGTTGCATATACAAAACATATTATTTAAAATAAAAATTTAATCTATATATATATATATATATAAATTATACTAATATTATAAAAACACAACACTTAATATAATTAAGAAATAATTAGTATTTAAAAAACAAGCTAAAAAAGTTCATAGAGAATAAGTATTAATTAAAACATAAAAATTATTTTTAATACATATATAATATTAATTAAAAAAGACATGTTATTGGGCCTACAACCAAGGTTAAGTGCTTAGCCTATAAAAAAAAGCTTGTGCGTGAGTTTTTATTTATTTTTTAATTTAATAGAATAAATGACATGTTATTTGTTCTATTTGTTAAAAAAATAAAATGATATTGTGTTGTCCATCTCAGCAGACAACATGTCATCTTGAATTCCTAGAATGAGGCTATGAGTGTGGTTGAAAACATGAGGTTCATGATTATCTTCATCCAAAACTATATTTTGACTCAATTTTTTATTCAACAAAAGACATGTTATTGGGCCTACAACCAAGGTTAAGTGCTTAGCCTATAAAAAAAAGCTTGTGCGTGAGTTTTTATTTATTTTTTAATTTAATAGAATAAATGACATGTTATTTGTTCTATTTGTTAAAAAAATAAAATGATATTGTGTTGTCCATCTCAGCAGACAACATGTCATCTTGAATTCATAGAATGAGGCTATGAGTGTGGTCGAAAATATGAGGTTCATGATTATCTTCATCCAAAACTATATTTTGACTCAATTTTTTATTCAACACTTCTAGGAAATATCATAGGAGTCTTGTTAAATCAATTCATAACCTTTAAAAATATAAAAAATTACTCCAAAACCCGAAATCAACCTAAAATAAAAAAATTTCTTAAGCTCATATATGTTTTTTTAGTTATTTTCAAGATAAGAAAAACCTAATATTAGCCCCTTATATCATAGAAAACTATTTGACAAAAAAAATTAATTGTTTTGGTAGCTTAAATTGTCACTAAATAAAACTTTTTTTCTCTAAGTCAGAATCTAACAAACCCTTTTTTCCTTCATAAAAAAACTAAAAATAAAAAAAATAAATTTTTTATCAAAATTATAATTTTAAATATTATACGGACATGTCACTTAATAGCTAAAATAGAAAAGAGGCAAAAATGAACTTTGCAAAAAATATCTCAAAGCCTTCACCTATATTATCCATGTTTATCATTTCAATCATCATTTTTTTTAATTCAACTGTTTATTCTAGAAAAACATGCAATTGAGTTCAAACTTGGGCTTAAAATGGCTCAGTCATGCAAAAAAAAAAAAAAACAAAAAACATGCAATTGAGTTCAAACTTGGGTTTAAAATGGCTCAATCATGAAAAAAAAAATAATATTACAAGCTTTAGTTTTTGTTAATTTGCATGTTGATGTTTAAAATCTAATTTTATTTTGTTTTACAACAATTAAAATAAATATTTATAAGATTTTTAATGATTTAAATTCTTGAGTTATTTTTTTTTTCAATCTAAGTTTAGCTTTTTATTTATGTATTTTTTTAACATAAACATTTTTTTTATAATCATGATTTTTTAAATAAAAATCTACCATGATCTAAAAAGTTACAATAAAAGAAATTGTGTCTCAATAATTTATACAACATCATGAAACAATCACTAATATTATTATAAAATTTTGAAATAAAAAATTAAAAAAGGTGGGGAGCCTTTAAAAAACAACAACTCAGGCTGACCTTACCTTGGAAGGCCAATTTTGCATACTTGGTTTCTTTTTTTTTAAAAAAAAAAAGAAGAGAAAAGATTACTATAAATATGCTATAATTTACTCAAAATTTCTCTTGCTTATCGATTTTTGAAAAATTACAGTTTTCATTTTAAATTTTGGTGCATGTGTAATAATTTACATTCTATATATGATGCACCTAAAAACTATTAACAAAAATTATCTGATTATTTGTAAGTTTACTATTATTTTTTATTTAATGACTAACGAGCTCATGTTGCATTAAAATAACAACAATGCTATAAAAACCCTTACTTCACCTCTATCCCATATCTAAATCTATATTATCCATTGAAATTCACAATTAATACTTCACAATAAATAATACACATATATGTTACAATCTTCATCCAATAAATAATACACACATATCATAAAACCTTCATCAATCAACTAGAAAAACAAAACAATTAATTTAAAAAAATGTTTGGAAAATTAATTTATAAAAAAGGTAACGAGCCTTTAATAAAAACAACTCAAGCTTACATTACATTAAAAGGCTAGGTCTGCGTACCTAACTTCCTTTTTTTCTAGTTTTTTTAGGAAAAAAAAAGAAGAAAAATTACCACAAGTATCCTATAATTTAGTTAAAATTTCTCTTGCTTATCAAGTTTTGGAAAATTATAGTTTGTATTCTAAACTTTGATACATGTATACAATTTACATTTTGTATATGACACATTCAAAAATTTCAAAGAAAAATTATTTGATTGTCTATAAGTTTTCCATTATTTTTTATTGAATGACTAAAAAAATTATATTACGTTAAAATAACAAAAAAGTTACAAAGGTCCATACTTTACCTTTGCCCTAAATATAAAGTTACATCATCCTTCCAAATTCATAATTAACACTTTATAATAAACAATAATCATGGATCTCATAACCTGCATCCATCAAAAACACTAAGATTCTTATCACCTAATATATCCATTATACAAGAAGTATAGACCACAATTATTATCTTCATCTTCATCTTAATAAATTTATGCGCCATGAGATCCATAAAAAAAAATGGAAAAGGAAGTTAGGGGAGGAATAGTAATTAATTACAAGAAATTGCATAATTACAATAGAAAAAGATTGGACAGCGTAGGAAAATGATTTGTATCACAAACCATATATATATATATGAGTATTTTGTATCACAAACCATATATATATATATATATGAGTGTAAGACAATAATATATGTAAAACATACTAAAGTCCTAATGATCTTCTTTTTCATAGAGTTTTGTGTATTCCTATGGACCCAACAAGGATTCTAATTCTGATGGGTTACTTGGTGTCACCTTGATCATACATCTCTTTTTATTTGGACTTTTATTTAACTTCATTATATAAATTGTCAAAATCATGAATGCATATATAGTATAATACAAATATTTTTCTCAACAATTAGAAATTTATAAAATTAAAACAATCTGGTCTTGTATGGCAAGATACTTACCTATCAAGGAGTCTCATTATACCATGCATTAGCCTCAATAATCTTACTGAAGATAGGAGAAGTTACACCACTAGTTACTTTCACACTTTCCACTACTCCAAAGCTCTTTCTTCAGCTAGCAGAAAGCCTAGTAACAATAATTATTTAATTGGTGATATCGCTTATATCATATTTATCTAAGAAAAATAAATAAGGTTGTTGACTTTATCATCCTCATCTCTCTCTCTCTCTCTCTCTCTCTCACACACACACACACACACACACACACATAGATCTCACTCCTAACATTATTTCCTTTAATCATATGTGCAACAAAAAAGCATGGGTAATGAAATCTCTTTATAAAAGTGTATGATGACAAGTACAAAAAAGAAATGACTAATATGCATTCAAAGCTAATAAGGACAAAAAAAAAAAGGTTATCTTTAAACTAAATGATTATGTTTGGGAAATATGAGGGGGGAGGGGTGTGTGGTTGTGTATACTATTTTACGGTTGGGAAAGGGTTACCTTTTATACTTATCTGACTTTTTATAGAAGGTTTAAGTTCTAGTTCTTTTAGTTTATGAAATTTGAAGCAAAAATTGAACCAAACCGTGTTATTTTAGGTTGGGGGGGTTAATTTTGTTTTCTTTAATTTTGTTTTTTTGATTAATTTTGTTTTTGTTTTCTTAGTTTTCTTAAACACCCGTACCTATGACTTTTTAACGAGTTGAACTTTTTAGGTCTGAGCTATTTCTTATTCTCTTGCAAAACAAGTTTTATATATAGGCAGGGGATATTTTGATGCTTAAGTTAGTGAAATGAAAGGGAAACATAGCATGTGAGAGGAAAATGATGAAAACTGCAAGAGAATAATTTTAGAAAAGTTTTATATATGTGTGTAGATATGTTGAATTATCACTTATACCTAGTGACCCTTATATATTTAAAGAATTGTATATCAACTTGAGATCACGTGGCTTTACTTAACAAGGAGTTGGATTATTATGCATGAGAAATAATGGAGAACAATTGCATTAACAATGCATCTTACCCCTTATAACATAATTTTGAATCTCCTAAAATTATTTTAAATACAATTTTTTTATTCAAAAATAAAAAAAATGTAGAAATGTTTTAAGAACATGAAAAGATAAGCTTTAAAGCTACAACAAACTAACATAATCAAACTATGATGTGTGATGTTTTGACATGATGAGCTAAAGAAAGACTCAATAAAAAGAAAATGGAGATTGAAATCCATCTTAACCAAAATTAGAAGAGTTAATTAAGTTTAAGGACTTCATTAAATTTTTACGCATTTAATTGTCTTAATTAAGCACTTAATTGAAGAAGAAAATAAGTTTAAAAGTCAATTTGGCTAAAAATGGATAAATGAAATAAGTTTGAGGACTTAATTTAACTTCTAATAGGTTTTATAGATTCAATTAAG